CACATAGTCCGTTACTCAGTAGGTTCGCACTTATTTTCACTTGGACTATGACAGCCAGTAACCATAATGGCGTCTCTGTCGAAACGGAAATTTATCTGTCTATTGTCTTAGGTTATATATATCATCATCATCATCGACAGCATGACATCAGTGTTCAACACCGATGCTTCATTGCCGTACAACCATGACTTATTTGAAAGCCTTATTGTAAAGAAAAGAATAAAGGTGGATGGGGGGCTATATATATACATCTATATGCATATATATAGTGGCTAGTGATCCAGCGGGCAGCATCAGTAATGCTGGCTGTAAGTGCTAAGTTGGGGTGATAGAACATCAAAAACGTGGTTTTTTTGGCTTGCCTTTTTCCACCTGACCCGAAAAAGTCCTGCTGAACTTTAACATGTATGGGGTGCCTAGCAGCAGTGAAACACGCCGATTGTCTTGTAAATTTGTGCCGGGTGGAGAGGCGACCAAAGCAGTCATTACACTGTATGGCAGTGGATACGAGTTTATGAGACAAACAGAAAGCAGCTTCACAAGTCTTCTCAACCTTCCATCAACGGGTTTGACTTGCTAACCGTGTCTGGCAAGACAATGGAGGAACAGATTGAGCTAGAAGCAGTACCATTTGGCTCTACACGTTGATGATCACGGTACCGATTCTCGCTAAGTTTTTATGGCTCCATATGTGATGTGGGTCAGCTGAATGGTGGAAAGTCATACTGAAACGTTCATCTTTTAAAATACTCAAATAAGAATGCGAGTGTGACTGGGCAATGAGGAGAATGAACAGATGATCATTTCGCGATGTTTCCGGAAGTCAGAGGTAAACTTGGACACGGAAGACATAGCACAATGGTTTTGTGTTTCATTGGAGTGTCGCAGTGTTTGTAGACGACACTATTCTGCGGTACCAATTCAAACAGTCTTCGCAAAATCTTCGGGTTGTCTGAGAGCTGAAGGGGTCGATGTTCTTTGAAGTGAGCAGCTGCAAATGACAGTACGGTTAGTTTAGGTGTCCCATCTAGTGCTGTTGCCATTAAATGTTTTAGCATGCCACAGGATGTTCTCGAACCATCATCGAAATGAGGATACACATTGTACACATTCGTGTTAAAATAGTAAAGGATGAAGTAACTGGGTGACTCACAAGAATCCCGTCTAATGGACTTAGATTAGCACAAATTACATATGAAACGTACTATCTGCAAGACGCTGCTTCTTCCGTAGGATTGCAGATAACCTTATTACACAAATTGGGAGATTTTTATCATTTCGTAGGGAGGGTTTTTCCGATGGAACTTCTTGTCACAATTATTTATCAAGCCAGACCTTCCAGGCTTCGCCCAGAACGAGGCTCCAATGACGTCTCCCATCAACTCCAAGTCTTGCTAAAATGTGTTTCTCTCTCCGGTATCCGCTGTTGGGTAGACAACGACACTTACACTTTGACTCTCATTAAGAATGCAGCCCTACTAACAACAATTGTGAAGATAATGACGTTCAAATGCAAACCTCGTCTTTGCTTGATGAGGGCTTTTTATCCGGATGAGTGAATTGGCTGTAACTTTACAGCGTGGACTTGATCAACCACAACCGCGTCATTTAGTCTTTGTCGTTGCCCCGAAGTATGGTTTGTACCATATCTTTGTATAGAATGAAAAGGTTTGTACCTTTTGGATAGTTCAACTACATCAGCTTATGTGATTTAGTTTAATGCAAAAATTATTACGTTAAGCCGCGACACCTATTCGGTGCCCAGTTGCCAGACCACCCGAGAATGTGCGAAGCCTGAGAATCTACCTGTTTGCCCAAGCCCGGGCAGGTGCAATCAAGATGACAAAGTTGGATTCGAACCACGGACCCTCTGGTCAGTAAGTTCGCGCCTTACTCACCAACCAGTGGGCTGTCTCATATCCAATGCTAACCAGTCAGAGTCACAACCAGTGATTAAGCTGTAGTTTGCAGTCTACCTTATTTACCTACCGGAGTTTGCCAGGTTGTTTCGGGCATAAAATATAAAGGACTTGCGAAAGACCATGAACTCACTCCTATTTTTGGCTATATCCATATCACGGGTTAGTTGACGAACAGCGTACAGGTTGTACTCTAGACATGAGGTCTTCCTAGCATAATGATCTGTGAGCTTGGTTTTCAAAAATGCGCGGGTAGCACTCATGCTTAGGGGCATGGTTCTCTACAGAACCAACATTTCTTGCGGCAGAATACTATAAAGTAACTACAAACCTGCCCGACCACAACAGCTAACCGGCAATACGATGAGCTCACCGGTATCGGAGTAAAATGTGTTTAGGTCTGTTTGAGAAAGCTAGTCAGGAAGAAGTATAAGGAAATCATCCGTTTTATACTTGTTTTGCGTTTTATTACGACCAAACGACCACCTCTCTTCTGTTATTCGCATCAATATATTGGATACAGAAGTGGTTTGAACTGGCGGACATCGCCTTCTTTGATGGAATGTTGAGTGCAACAGGAAACGGTATTATATCTTCAATTCTTCAAGGGTTCTGGTACCGTATCTTCATCAAATTTGTTTATGTCCGTACCTGAGAAATGGGTATCAGGTCATATAGGTGGCAGTATGGTAAAATATTATTTCTCCGATTCGCTCTTTGGAAAAAAGATGAGCAAATGTTTAGTACCCTTAATTAAGAACCAACCCGTAAATGCGGGTTCAGAAGAATTTTGCTATTCGGGATGCTCATTATTTTGTCACTCCTGTTTTCCAGGGGTTTCTGCTCCTCTGCGGTTTCGCCTCCCGTTTTCCTGAAAAAAACCCATCCCATAATAATGGCCAGGAAATTCCTGGACAAGGTTTTCTACCAACCGAATTTCGCTGTGATGTATCTGTTTCTTGTTGCGGCATCCTTGCAAGCGAACCCGACCGCCTTTTTCTCTGAGATGATGCACTTTTTATTTACCCATCGAGTCCAGTATACAATAAGTTGCTTTCTGGCTGTGCTGGTGACCAAGTAACACCGCTGTTTTAATTACTGAGCATTAAGTAGACATTAGACGGTTAAAATTGGAGTCATCTTAGTGGACTTATTAGCAGTTCGCACAGTTTTGGCACGCTAACTTTACAGGTCCTCGTGTGAGACTGCCATCCCAGGGCTGATAACATTAAAAACTGTAGAATTAGTGGAACACCACCAGACTATTCACTAACGATCTGACGGCCCGTTAAACGGCGGGCCCCAGTAGCACCTGGAGAGATGCGGTTGTACTCAAAGCAATTAACTGCCGACACTGGTAGCTTGAAGGTAAGTAAGTAATCAGAGCTGCGGCCTATTATGGTGTCACCATGTCTGGGCTGACTGTTAGCTTGCAAAGGCCTCTGCACGCACGTTTGCCGATCTGATTCCATTGGGTTTACATCGGCGCCAAAAGCTTGCGCTTACCAAGCACGCCCAGCACACACCGTCTGTGATTTTCCTACTATGCACAGGCGTCCGGTCGTTCGACCACCGTTGTGATTCTTAGTCGATGGTGAAAATCAAGAACAGCTAAACTTCATAGAATTTCGTACAACATAGTTTTCATAAACGATGATCCAGAAGTTCATTTCAGGACTGAAATGTTCACCTTCCGGCCTCCGTTCTCGAAAATTTCTTAGAAGTTTAGTCGGCTAAGCATTTGCGAAGACTTTCAATATTCGACTAAAGAAAACCTCTTACTTTTGTCCTTATCCACGCTGCTTACCACCGGAGACGTTGCTGTGCAGCCACAAGGAGCCTCCTACACATGTCACACATATTCAGAACAGTAAGCGATTGGCAAAGTAAATTATTGTGTTGTTTTGTTTGTAGTCCCCCCACAGAAACAAAGTAATTTGGACGGCCAGCATCAGTGTAAGTGATGATTTGAAGTGGGCTGTACCCGTTTGGTTGGCGACGTTCTGTATGTTGACGAATTTCACTCGTCGACCTGCCATACATGGGATCCAGTGATGACTTTTACGACACAATTAGTGCAGAGTAGCGCAAGTAACAGCGCATTGCGCTTGTGAATAAGTAAATCTTCAATGCGCTGTCTATGTGTGTGCTGTTACGAACGCTCTTTGAATAGGTGACGCCATGTTAACTCTCGTTTACGGCCGGTTGTTTATTATCTTTCGCTTCCACTTTGCTACCCATGTACAGTCGATCTCAAATCGTATATTGTACTGAATCAACAGAAGTAATTTTGCTCGTGGTAAATTTTCTCGTAAATCTATCACTGCGTCCAAACGAAAACTAGCAAAGTCGTCACACACTGAAAAGTGGTGGAGCGTCAAAAGGAGTCACAAGCAGTCACAGTTATAGGCATTCCAACGACCCATCTTCTCAACGCGGGTTCTGGTTTCCTCCAAAATCAGAGGTAAATAGTTTGTTCATAGGTCTACGACAAAAGATATCCTTTGAAATTTCAAGAAGAATGTAGCCTGAGACTGTCGAATCCTTCTTGCTTTAAACGGTAGCGTTTGGGCCACACAGTAACAGCGCTTCTTCCATTTTGACCGGATTTCGTCACTTCAGGAACATAGATTAGTTCACTGTCGCCTATGAACTACAATTCTTACATCTTCACTGGTTTCTCAAGCTTCTTCGAGAATACTCAGTAGGTTCGTGGATGAATTCTTTCCAACTTTGCATCTACCATTGAAGGCGGTTAGTTCTTCGTCCGAAGTTCAGCTTAAATTTATTTTTTTAATTTCCAGCCCACACTGTTTGATGGATCGACCATCCACAAAATTGCCCATACTACGGTTGGGGTTATATTTTTCTTGTCTAGTTCTGATCAGCGTATTATTTTTCCGCAGTATACTCATTTTTTACCCATCTTCATTTTACCCTTTTCAAGCAACAAACAGGCATACAAGCCTGCCACCTTTTTCCAAATGTATTGCAGACAGGTTTCGTTCAGTTGATCCTACTGCCGTGACAAGCGGCTGTTTTTCCTCAGCTAGCAACTTCTCATTTCCTCAAAATAGATGAAAGCCGGAAAACACTTACAAATTCAAAAGCCTGCTCCAAGCACAAAGTCATATTTGCACATACTGAAACGAGAGCTGCAATCATGACTGTGACAGCAGTATAAAGTGTTCTGAGTATGTCTGGAGAGGATTTAGCTTATTTTTGGGAAGGAAATATGCATACTTAACTCTCCTGAGCCTCCAGCATTTTACAACTATAACCATAAGACAAATACTAGTAAACTCTTCAACTAGCAGAATTATTCGATTGATGTGTCCCCAGTGACCTGTTTCTTCTGGTTTTGATGGCATTTTAGCCCACATCTTAGCTATCATTTTACATTGTTTTGCTCAGCGTGACTGAGTGATCGGCATCTTTCCATGCACCGGTAATATGGAAGACCATCTGGGTTACACACATTTTCTAAATTTATGATGGATATTATCCTGTTTCCTCATGTTGGAGCTGATTTGGATCTCACGGAAAGGGTGGCGCTGTGCGATATTCCGTAGAAGCGATACTATTTTACTGTCCATTCCAATTTGGTTCGCAGAACTCTCGCTGTATGTTGTCCACTTTAGTTGTTGTATCTCTCTCTTCCATTCTGGCCAGTATATTCAATCTTTCTTACGGTGCAAAACGGTGGGAGGTCCTCTTTTTCGTAGCGCAAGTGCACTTTAAAGCCTCTTTTCAACTACTTTCGTTTTGCCCACTGAACTGCCGATCCGTAGATTGTCCGTCCGGTTTCAAAACAAAATGCCAGCGATTTTCTTGTTTCCCTCACCCGTACGATTAGNTTAGATTGGCAGCCTCTTGACTTCCTGTTAGTTAAGCAGGTGTCCCCATAACTCATTGAGTTGTTTGCCAATGGCATTTCCTCCACTGTTCAACCATTTTCTCAGAACACCGGTTTTCGCTTATTAATATCTATAAATGTTTCGACGTAATCATTTGCGCTGCATTGTACCGGAATGTGCCCGCTGTATTAGTTCTCTCAAAATGTAAGGAAATATCTTTTTTCCATTAGGAACTGCATTATCTGGTGCAACCTTATAGTTTTATTTCTAATTTAGTCGGCTTCATCTTTCCCGTGGTGTTGTGCCATTAACCTGTCGCTCTCTGTGACCTGTCTACGAATGATATCAATAAGACTTCGCCGGACTTAATACTGATTTCAAATGTTACTCTAAAATTTTGACAAACAAATCTCGCCATTTTTCTCGCATTCCTCTTCTTGCTCTGTCTCCTCCACAAAACAAACACTCTATTCCGACTACCTGACACCCAGTTCAAAAATTCGGAGAAATGTGCATGCTATATTTTTCCAAGCAAAAATTGCTTCGCCCTATATTTAGATCGCTAGCCAAACAATAAGACTATCTGACAGGAATTTCAGGAATTTTTCCTTGTACAACCGCTATGTGTAAATGGTCACAACCCTAGTTGTAACATTATATGCATTTGCCCCTTTATTGGGGGAGTTCGCTGATGCCATGTCATACTGGCTAGGTGACGTTTATCTTGTCTTGATCTATCTATCTATCTATCTATCTATCTATCTATCTATCTATCTATCTATCTATCTATCTATCTATCTATCTATCTATCTATCTATCTATCTATCTATCTATCTATCTATCTATCTATCTATCTATCTATCTATCTATCTATCTATCTATCTATCTATCTATCTATCTATCTATCTATCTATCTATCTATCTATCTATCTATCTATCTATCTATCTATCTATCTATCTATCTATCTATCTATCTATCTATCTATCTATCTATCTATCTATCTTCTATCCTATCTATCTATCTATCTATCTATCTATCTATCTATCTATCTATCTATCTATCTATCTATCTATCTATCTATCTATCTATTATCTATCTATCTATCTATCCATGAGTTTATCCATTTAGTCGTATACTTACCTACCTCCCTGTCAGTCTGCATTTGCTGAAAAATTCACGTTCACACAGCTTAAATCTTGTTCGCCCTGCAAACTTACTTCAGTTTTATCGTTTGGACAACAGTACTTTTCCTCTTTTAATACCGTCTTGTTAATCCAAAAGACCCATTTATAGAGATTTTAGAGATATGGACGTGGACTTACAAGCTTTGATGTTGACTGAGATTTTTTTTTTATCAATTTGATTGGCGTGGTCCTGTCACACAAAGCCTATCTCCCTGAAACGGTCAAAGATTTGGGTGGACCTCATTGTGGGTGGAAGCTATGACTTTCAATGACCCCAGTAACAATCATTAGAGCGGTCACCATGGACAGTAACAGAACGAATACTGAAGGAATTTTATTTCTTTATGGACCCTAAATCAAAGAAGTTTTACATAAGGATCATTGCACCAACACCGCAGTCACATCGTCAGAATCTTTACCAAAAATTTTGTGAATCAACTGCATCCTTTGCTTGTCATTGATGAGTCAGGTATGCAACCCATAGACAGGCTGGTAGCACAGCGCAGCACCATCAAGTGATATCGGAGTTAAGCTGCATTTTATTGTGTTCAGAAGTAGCCAAACAGTTTTAGATTCTGAACGATTTACGCAAATGGCTTAACATATTGCTCAAGATGGTGTATCACTTGGCTTGAGGGAGGGAGCGCATGGTTGCTAGGTTTATCGGGACAACCATCATAACGGCCTTAAAACTTTCCGTACCTCCTGAGCGTTAATCTAGGCGAAATATCAGAAATTTTTTTTTCAAAACCCCCACTCAGATGTGGAACCCCTGAAATTCGTTATGGCCAGCGCCTAGAATCTATCATAAGAGGTGATATGTTTGGAAGGCCTCTCTTCAGGGAAAACGCTGAATGCTTCCTTAGATTTGGACTTACAATTTTTTTCAAAAAAATGACAATTATATTTTGAGACCTAGGAATCTCCTTAAGGAGAAAGATGTAGTGCGACATTTGTTAGCGGAATCCACAGAAAGCCAACTGTCATATGCTGCCACCAAAAAGTTTTTTGCCTGGCAGCCACATGGAATGATCTTCGTCAGGACCTGTGAAGTGCCTTCCAAGAGGTAGCATTTCAAAGTTTAGTTTAGTGGCACCACAGTGAAATGATCTTTGGAAGTGGCTTTCCTAAAAAAACTTAAATTGCGAATGTCATTTTGCCATAAACGAATATGAGTGGTAAGTTGCTGAAATGTGGGAATCTGGCTTGGGCATTCAAAACGGTCTCTCTTTCCTCATAGAGTTGTGTGTTTCCTCTTTGTTACAAAAGCCCACATGGTTGTGGTTGAGTAAGAACGCTGTAATGGAGACCGCGGCGGCGACTTCGTTTCTTCCGAGACCACTGCGTTTGCTTAACAGGGATTAATTGCGGAATCGCGGTTATTCTTAAATATGTGCAACATACTTGTCTGTGTGTGAACGCTGCTATTCCGTAATCCTTACTGTATCTCTGTTTAGAATATGCTTGAAATATTACCATCGAGCGATGAACAGCTGGGAACAATTCGGTAAATAATAAAATGACAGATAGAGAAACACCGCTTCTGTTTGTCGGGCGGACGGCCACGGAAAAATGCAACCGAAGCCTATCCTTTCAAGTTAGTAAATCATGGGGCTATTTCGTCCACTTTGAGCTACTTATCTAAAGTTAGCTGAGCATCAATCGAATATAGCCTATAGGATGATCCTTCTGGCCAAGCAAGTACGAGAAGCATAGGTTGGAAACTGAGGAGCAAAGCAGCACAGCTCTTGTTCTTCGACAATCTACAGTAGAAACTTGCAATGCCATGGAAGCACGAGGTGAAATATGAGTGCCTGCTTCAATCAGATCTTTATTCCGCCAGCAAAATTGATTTTCAAACCACCCCCTGCCTCAGAATGGTTTTAACAGTCGCCTGACAAATGATTGTTTCTACCAGAAAACAAAATTGGTGGGTAATAAATTTCTCTGGACTAATCTGGGCCCCTTATATTTGCATAGTTGAGTTTGTCTTCACGAAGGTGGTTAGTCATCTCCCAGTGCTGTTATAATCGGAAAAGTTGGAGTCTTTGGTACAAACAAATAAAATGAGGCGACAGCTATTTTCTTTTCTGCAATCGCAGGCCATGTTGCAAAGGTCAGTTGTCTTTTCTATATCTCCGCTCCGTGTTTTCGATGCACTAATGGATAGGATGGTTGTGCAGCTATATGTAGAAAGCCGCAGAGCGGAGACGGCTTTGACCCCTAGGCCGGCTGTGCAACGGTGAACCAAGGCTAACTATTTTCGAACCAATGGTTGTTGACATATCGATCCAAGTGTTTACTGGCCAAACATTTTGTGGCATTTTCAAAAGTGCAGGAAATACCAGAAAATAATTGGACACTGAGGCAGCTATTTATTTCCTTTCTGCCCCAAGTCCTGTTGCACCGAGAATTTCGGAACGTGACACACAGAAGTACATGTCTGCTGTTTAGTGCTCGCTAAGAGACAAACATAAAGACTGATAGCTCTTTCGCTCAACCGAATTTTCAAGGTCGCTGGCATCTGGTCTGATTAGTGTTGTACATATATATACGCCAGGAACAGAATGCGTTATCCAAGTCGCCGTTTGTTCCACTCGAGAAAAGTGAGTCCTTTTTGCTATCCATTTTGGAACAAAACTGTAAGTGTAGAATAGCATCCACACATACGTCGCCATCACTTTAATCCTAATGACAACGGTGATAGCAGTTGATTGAGTTCTGTGTTCTGTAACCCAGCTTGTGAGTACATTCTGTATCGATTTGCAGAAGGATTACGACATGTCTGCTCTCCTAGAATGGGGTTCAAGACACTAGTTCCAACAACAACGCTTAAATGAATACGTACGGATCACCGACTGGAATAACCAGGTCAACAAATCCACTGGATTGAAGGGTCAGGAAAGACGGGGTTGAAACTTTGGACTGTTCCAGTTGTGCCTTAGTTGTACCATCCCTAAGTTCACACTAGAAATCGACGTGTCCCTATTAGGAAACGGAAATCGTTTATGACTTGTTCATTGGAGTCAGGTAAAGGTAATCTGTTTTTGAGTGTTATTTCCCACGAAAATACCGTTATATCGCACCGAAATGCCGCCTCGCTTACTTATGCCACCGGCGTGTATGATTCGGCTGGCCCGGCTCCACATCCGATGGTCGACTGGCTGAGTGTGAATGAGCGGGTCCGATAAATCGGCAAATAAGTGTGATTGTGTCCCCCGTCAAGTGAAGTCGGACGCCATTCTGATAAATCAGCTGACTATCATACCAACTGGAATCAAATTGATCAACGAATGCGTTTGAGTGGTGCAATCAATCACCGACTTAGGCAACTGGACCGATTGGCCTCAGAAATCCATTAGGATTCACCTATTTCTCCAAGCCACCTTAAGATTATATGAGATTACAAGTATATTTTATTAATTCTTGATTATACGAGTTATTTTCCAACCTCTGATATTTTTACTGCTCACTCTCATTACATTTTAGGGTGCGCAGTACCAATGAAGAAACAGAATCGTCCTCTGCTCTATCAGCTGTTTGAAGCTCTCATTTCGAGGCGTCACGAGGAACTGTCAAACAAAACAGCTATCTGGCATGTACCTGATCCGAGACAGTTGGAAAGAACAGCTGAGGCTAGAATCAAAGGTGAAGAATGTGTTCAAACGGAGGGAAACCTTTTGGTTCATTCAATCACATTTGAGCGTCTCATCTGCGAGGCTTCCAATTTAGCCAGCCGAATTTCGTACGAACTTCGAAATCAGGGTTTGTTGCCTAAACTGGATAACGATGGAGGGGACGCACTTAATGGCAGCGAACTGTGGGACGATGAAACTCTTCAAGAAAACACCGTTGTAGCGATTTTTATGCCGCCCGGTATTGATAGGATTGTTGCGCAGGTGAGTTCAGAACTTCCGTTTCTTATGACTTGATAGGGAATGCGGCCAGAAATGTAAGTCGTTGTAGCTTGAATAGATGTCAGAAGTTTTTCAGATCTTGTATTTTTCTGGGTTGATGCTATTTCTGCCTCCAACAAAACGCTACTTTAAGACCTGTTATCTTCGTCTTGCTTGTGGTTTCTGCTTTTTGACGGCCCTTTTAAGAAAATAAGCGAGAGCTGTTTTTAACAGCAAAAATGCTGAAGATATATTTAGTCTACTGAGTGGCAGCTCCAAGCTTTGTATCGTGTTTTCTTCTGAGAAAAGGGGCGAGTAGAACGTTATTGATGGGGGTTTATACATGGTAAAATCACATGGTAAAATCATGGTAAAACCACAGAATAATTTCACTGGTTACGGTTAGCCAGGTGTTCTCGGAAAATATATCAGTGGACACTCCTTAAGAGCGAACTAACAGTTCCATTCTACGGGTTCTGGGAATGAAAACCACTGGAGAAACTTATGACTAGTTTTCTTACTCTGGTTACTCAGAAGGGTGATAAAGGTATGTGGATAATATATCCAGTCAACGATGGCGACGGAAGTTCTCTAAAAACCAGAGGTACTTTCCTTGGCTAATTCGTTTAAGATCTGCGATGTATATGAGCATACATACGTATGGTACAACACATGTATCCATTATATATGGTATATGGCTTTCGTTGACAAAGTTGAGCACCGGAGTGTCATTTACTCCGGCAGAGGGTGTTCGTGTACTTTTTCTGGTCTTTTAAATTTCAATTTCAATAGCTCCTTCAGTTAGATTTCCTTACAACCTTTCAATCCTTCCTCAGTTGTATGGTTGAGCAAAATGACACTGGACTTGTTTATAGAGTCACATACTTAGAAGCCGACAATATTTCAGGAAAAAGGTTGTCAAATAAAGAGTTGGGGTCCAACGGGTCTATTGTCCTGCCCCCCCACACACACACGGACACTGAGATGAAAACGATAAATTCACAGCTGTCACTCACACCACCAGTAAATGAGTTTTCATGCATGGGATTTACGAGTCATTCGAAAAGAGATTTATCGTCGCTGAATGGAAAAATTTCTCCTCTCAACTAGATGCAATAACAGCCGCACTCCTGAAACTCACGATGAATGTGCTTATTGGCCTCAAACAACCGCAGTATGTCACGTTCGCCCAAGGTAGAAAACTCTAGACCTCTGGCCTGTTGATTTTTGGCAATATACTCTAGGGGACGGAGGCCCTGATCTTTATATTGTTCCTACAGTTGTCTCTGCGGCTAATAGGCGTTACATCAACCTGAGATGAAAGTGTTCAGTGGCTAGGAAAATAGCTGGGGTTCGAACCTGAATGTCAGGTTTTGTACCTTAACGAAGACGGAGAGTATAGTGGATTGCTTTTTGATTGTGAAACTGGTTATCATTGGTGCTTCTATAACTCTAACTCAATGTGTTGCTAACTAAAAAATCCTCTGTAAGGATTGCAGATAGTTAGGAACAATTTCCTAACTACCCCACAGTAATCAAATCTCGGCGCATGAGCGAAACCAGGAAAAACGCAGTTGACCATTCAAAGCGAGCTTCTACTTCAATTTGGTCTGGTTTACCATGAAGAATATCACAATTCAGACTCACCAAGAATGACGATGTGATGGGGGGGGATGTTAGTAGGGTAACCTTATGACCATTATTAGTGGACGAGTGCTTTTTGTCGATCGTAGAAAACACTTGCGATTTTTCATTTGGCGAAATAACTAACTTGGTCAGTCAATGCAATGTAAAATTACGCTACCCATAAGCTAAATTTAGCCCTGACTGGTACTATGGCGACTGAAATTCTAAGGCTTATCTAAGAATATTTTTACTGGAAAAGTTTAACAAATATCAGTTTTTAATGTAATCGAGGACAACATTTAACTTACTTGCTTTAAAGAAGCTGATGGCTGTGCATAAGCTTATTGCCTTTACAATGTTTCCATAAATTACTTCACGTTCCCAGATTGCATGCATGAAAATCCGTTTGGCTTACCTTCCATTGGACAGACAACTCTCTTCGGGTCGAATCCAACAAATTCTCGAGCTCATCCGGCCAGTGATGATTATTACGGCAAAAGAGTATCACGCCACGCTTCGAACTCTCATAAACGAACCTCTACTAAAATCCTGTGCGTCCCCAGTGGGGTCCACGCACCGATTGGCATTCCAAGGAATGCTTATTAGGAACTACTCAGATTTACAAAACAATTCAGCGTCAGATTATGACAATAAATGCGAATTTCGCACAAACTCAGGTCACGTGGAGCAGAACCCTTGCTTGGAGTACCTCTCCTGTGTGAAAGATCCTGTGATAACCATACTATTTACTTCAGGAAGGTAAGTGTCGAATTTCGTTGTTTTTGCCTCTCGCTAATATTTTAAGTCTGCTTTCGTCGCAGTACTAAAGTTCCCCAGAGTACAGTGATGGGAAAAATCCTAGTTTGTGCTTATTACAGTCGGTTCGATGGGACCTCCCGGGTCAGAATTTTGGGTCGGTCGACTATCTGAATTTTGTGCCGTAAGTAAGAGGTAAAAGCTTTCCGATTTCCACTTCCATTTCAGAACACACTGATGTGACCTGCTACTTAACTGGGGATACGAAATCCCCCACCCCGTTCCGTTAGTTCAATCTATTGCACAGCACAACCAGTTTGGTTACCTTTCACCAAATAGTGTCAGTTCAAATGCCGGGTGACTGATATGCGGTTAGGAAGGCATGAAAAAAGATGTTTACCAATAAACGGCCGGCCAAAACACGTATCACCCACATATCACTACTATATCTGCATTCATCTCCATGTATAATTTAGTCACGACGAGCTCGTGAAACATACTCATTTGCAAACTGAAGGGAATTTTAGCTGATTCTCGAATTAATCTCTAGCTTATAGACTTTTTTGGCTTAGTGTGCCACATGTAAGCCACCTAATGTTTCAGTTGGCTTGATATTGGAGATACTGCCGTGTCTTTTCTTATCCGAACGCCGCTCATAACGCTGCCGTCGAAGAGCTTTTGGTGGCCAATTTTCATTTGGGTCAGCTAGATATACCGCTGTGTTGTCGTAAGTTTTCTCTTTAGGATCCGTCAGCGAACTTATCTACTCTTCATGATTCAGTTTTGCAATTTCGACAAAGGAGAATGTGCAGTCATCTCCTGACTAGTGTAACCTAGTAAGCCGAATAAAGCCGTAAATTCCTAGATTTCAAGATGAACTAGAAAAGAGGAAATTGTTGTGTTTCGAATACCCAACTGGTATCATAGTAAAATGTACTTTCTGAACTGTGCGTGTCCAAACTATTCTTTTGACAGCTTTTAAGAGACAACCCTTTTCTCCAGTTGTATGAACACTCTGGGATGATATATTTTCCGCTTTAGAGAATCTTGTACGTTTGTGGTTGTAATTTAAGACAGGAAACATCCCACACATTTTGTACTAAAGCTTAGCTGCTTAAAAATACACCGCCAGATTGTTAAATGGCCCATAACACTTGGATAAATTTTAAGTTGGTGGAATTGAAATTGTTCTTATTTTTAGATGTATCGAAAGAATACACTGATCATTGACAGGAAAGTTATCGTAGAGAAGGTTAACTACTAACTAATCTTTTCCCAAATCCTTCCCTCTGATATATATGGGAGGTCTCATATCGAGAAAAACGGCAGTAAACCGAAATTATTGATTTGTACGTAATTGTACAAGATACCGAGATTACCATCCTAAGCCAGGAAGTCTTTCCTTTCCAGTGACTGACTTACACCTAGTTTGTAGGATTTCGTTCGATTCTTTTTATATTTCTACCGTAAGAAGGCAGAAATAAGAAGAGAAATACCAACTCCAGAATTTTAGAATCATATCTCTTGGACAGCACTATACTGTTGATCAACTTTAATGCCAGCTTTTTAGTTAAAATTCGGCTTGTCACACCATATACTCGTCAGAAGGGTTAAAAAGGTCTTGAAATCACGAGGGCGGAAGATCCCGGAGAGTAAATGGAGTAAATGGGTCACAACTTTTACCAAGACAACATAATATATATCATTTTATTATATAGTTGTATGTCAGCACATATTTTGCCCTTAGACAGGCTGCTTGGTACCCAAAAATGTGACTACTACCCAACCAGCCGTTATGTTCATGTCTCACTTCAGCACTTGGCAACAGGAGCTGAAACAGATAAAAAGTCAATTTCACTCCGATCCTTGCTTCCATCAGGATCAAACCAAGCATAAGGCAACCAAGGGATAGGTGCCAAATACTTAGTGTTTTTTGTTATGCTGTGTAGGACTATTAATGTGAGCCATGCAGTCGGTCTCGGACCATATTTGTTATGGGAAACTAGTTTCTGTTCGATCCAGATCACTTCTATGATTTTCTTTTTTTTAAAAATGGACCATCTTCCGAAAACCGGACACCATAACGTCTGCATTCCATGCATAACTGAATGCGTGGCATCGCTGGTGGCAATCAAGGTAAACACCGTGTTGAGGCTCTAGTGTCCGGCACTGCTGTTGCTACCGGCTGTCACGAGTTAAGAAAGCAAAAACCCACACACAGTTAAGTCTATCGGATAGGTGCCAAATACTTAGTGTTTTTTGTTATGCTGTGTAGGACTATTAATGTGAGCCATGCAGTCGGTCTCGGACCATATTTGTTATGGGAAACTAGTTTCTGTTCGATCCAGATCACTTCTATGATTTTCTTTTTTTTAAAAATGGACCAATCTTCCGAAACCGGACACCATAACGTCTGCATTCCATGCATAACTGAATGCGTGGCATCGCTGGTGGCAATCAAGGTAAACATCGTGTTGAGGCTCTAGTGTCCGGCACTGCTGTTGCTACCGGCTGTCACGAGTTAAGAAAGCAAAAACCCACACACAGTTAAGTCTATCATATTAAGCACCTCTATTTGGCAACTAAGAAGATTGTCGTTCTCTTGGGCTCGATTCTTAATG